TCAGTGTGCAAGCATCTTATAATAAGTATCAAAAATTAAGATTTGGAATGTAATGGTGCTTAGAGTAACCTGTCAGTGATGGTAATTTTCATATTTAAAAATGTTTCTCCACAGAATTACTCTTTTGCTATCACACAAATCTAATACAGACTGTTGATTGCTTACTGGCCCAGCTCTAAACATGATCTCAAAATGAATTTTTTTTTTTTTTTTGGGGGGGGGGCAGGGGTTGGGACAAGGAAAATGAAAGTGAGTTTGATTTTTTCCTGTTTCCTTTGTAAAATAATATAAAGACATAAATGTTTGATATTAAATCTCTATAAAAGTAACACAGTTTTACTTAATTTTCAGAGGATTTGTATTCCTTAAAGATTTTCAATTTTGTTAATTCAGTTTTTCCTCAGTAGACTGTATTTTTTCCTAAAGACACTGCAAGTAATCTTAGTTTATTCAAATCTGTAGACTTTTCTCTATTTAGTTAAAAGATTTTATTGTTGAAAGGAAAGAAATAGGTCCAAGATGAAAGAATAAAAATATATAGAAACTCCTGAAACTATTACTAAACTTAATGAAGACAATTTTTTAAAGCAAAATTAGGTATAGATCTTAGGAAAAAATAAAAAAGAGAGAAATAATAAGAGAGGAAACCCAAGGCATCAATATAAATATTTATTAGTTTTCTAGAGAGATTTATCTGATTTTTCTAATTATGACAGAGTTCTTACAGGTTAGCCTTGTTGGTTAATTCAGCATAAGAAAATGCATAAAGACAACTCCGGAGACAATATTTCAGTATTTAGTAGAAATTTTACTTAGAGGTTATGAGTTTCTCTCAGCATTTTAAAATAAGAAACAGCTGTACAACTGGGAAAATGCTAAAGTGAGTTGCTTTTACAATCTCTTTAACTTAGATCTTTAAACTTCTATATATCTTTAAATTTTTCTTGCAGTTTGTCCAAATTTCTGTCAGCTCAAAGGCAAATTTTGCATTTCCTGTATGAAGAATCGTTGTGAAACCTCATAAAGCAGCGCAGGGAGCAGAAGTCCAGCAGGAGTTTTATGATCGTGCTTTGACAACTACTCCATAAAAGAAAAGCTTGGGAGTTACTGGAATGTAGAGTTTGACAAGTTGCTCCCTTTCTGTCTGCTTCTAGTTCTGTGTTTTCCCTGCACTGGGCCATGGCACAACTGGAAAGGGATTGTTGTCTTCACTTGGTGCCAGGCACAGCCCCAGAGGGCAAACAGCTGTGACATGGAGCTGTGCCTTCACTTACGCATCTTATGGAAAGATGACGAGTTTCACAGCTACAAAGCAATGCATTGTCCTGCTGGTGCTCAGCCAAACTTTGTCAGAAAATGCTGGAAAAGTGAATGAAGCCAAGACTTAAATTCTACTCCCCTCTTTTGCACTTCAAATTGACTGGTTTAAACTTTTCACTTGTACATCCTGGATTATAGGAATCTCATTTTTAGTAACTTGCATTTTCACTCCAGTTTGACATATTAGAAATGTTAATGTTTAAGAAAGAATTTTAGAGATCTATGTAGTAAAAGAGATGGCCTAACTTATAATATTTTTTTTACCTATAGCAAGACAAACTAGTTACTTGGTAGAATAATTAAACCAGCTACTACATAGAGCAATGCTGCATGTAATGAAGTGCATTGAATAAATAAATATGAAGTGCACTGACAGCTAAATGTTATTTGTAAACCATTGTTTAAAAGATATGCTTGGCATATAGGAGATATTTATTATCAGAAAGGATCACTTCAATAATAGGAAATTAGCAAGATGCCTTATTAAAGGCTGCAAGGAAATGAGATTATTTCAGATATGTTTCTCTCACTGTTTCATTTATTTCTGCATTTGTATGAGGTACAATGTTTGTGATTTTATTGATAGCTCAGAGAATATGGGTATAATTCAGTATTCATAGATGGACATTGAAAGTGAGGTGTAGAAGTTGCCATAAATTCTTTCACATTGTAATGAAGATCCCACGGATCTTTGATTTTTATGAAATATTCACAGTTGTATTGTGATCAGCAAGGCAATCAAATCTCAATCATTCATGTTAGTATTATTCTCACCCTTTGAATTTCTGCAGCACGTTTCCCTGACTGCTCATTTGAATATGAGAGAACCCACCAGACAACTACTTTTCTTTGTGTTATAAAAATATTGTAAATTTGCATTACAAAGCACTACAATGCAGAAATATTCAATGTCCTATTCAAAGTCTATTTAAATTAGTATGTAGAAAAACTGGGCAAAACTGAGGATTTTTATTAAATAACAATAGTTCACAAAATCCCTTGTTAAATAGCTAAACAACAGAGGAAATACAGCATAGTAGTGTGTTTAGAAAACGTTGTGGTGGTAATGTGTGTCGTAGAAAACACTGGTGGTAATAAATAAAGTGTTTTGTTGCACATAATTTTCATGGGAATCTTAACTTCTGGCAGATTTTCTGTAAATTTTTTTCTGTGTGGATTTTTTTGATGGTCTGTTGGTCATGCTTAAACATTCCAACTGAGGTCACATTGTTTTGTTAAAAGTTATATAGAAAAAAACCAATGAGACATAGCACTTAGTCAAAAAAAATGCTGGTCTGAAGATTAAAAAGTGGAAACAGAGGCACTAAAAGCATCTTACTGAAAAATCATGCAGAAGTTTAGTGAAAAAGACAGGTGTACCTGTCCAGGCTACTGCTTTCTAAGCCAGTCATACTTGTGATAAACTACCTCTATGTGTTTAGTAAAATAATTTCATCTACATGCTCAATAAATGTAGATAGTATCAACAAGATGCTAAGAATTGTATAAGAACAGATACAGCTTTTTTTCCCTGGATCTTCACAAAGATTAATGCAATACTCTCCATGGTAAGTTTTCCCAATAGAGTGGTATTTGAAGTGTTGTGCAACTCGGCAGCAGAGGGGACACTAGTTATTCCCTGCTCATCAGCAGCTCCACTAACCTTGTTATTTTTATACCTTGTTACTCTGCCATGCTACGTCTGTTTGGATCAGTAGGGCTCTTTAAGCTGACATGGCTGTGTTATTGTCATTTTGACTCCTGTGTAGTACAGGTGTATCTAAGATAGAGTTAAAATTCCTGGGTCTCAGAAAACATCAGCAGTGTGCTTTATGCCAAAATGGATCTTAGTGTGCATTATATTTACATTTTGTAAATAGTTTGTCTTGATAATATTACAGTACTAAGCATACTATTTTTAATGCTCACAATATTCAGGTTAGCTATATACAGACATGACTTCAAACATGCACAATCTGCACAACAATCTAGAAATATACAGTATTGAATTTGTCATGCTAAATGTCAGAGGTTTGTGTTGAAGGCAGTTTTCCTGGTTTTCCAGGATGAAATGTGTGCATGTATACACTACGTTATGTTTCCACAATGTATTTAGAAATATATAAACTTAGAGGAAAACACCCTTTCTCTTATTTTCTTCAGTGCTTTCTCTAAATGCTGTAACATAAAGTTGCCATGCTGAGTTGTTAATCAGGTGAAAGCTATTTGACTGGCAGCTCTGCTGCATGCATTCATTTAATAAAGCAGGCTGTTTGCTGAGACTTAGGAGGACTGCCCATACATTTCTGTTGTATGTTCTTGGCTGGAAGGTGGGGTTTGGATCCTCAGAGATGGAGTCAGTCAAAGTGCTGATGGCTGTGACTGTGGCTGTTTTATTCAGCAGGTATTCTGCGGAGTTCAGTGACGATGGTTCCTTTTTCTACCTTCATGTATGGTAGCTACTGATTTAAAATACAAAACTTCCAATTTAGATGTTTGGAATAGAAGTTATTATACCTTTTCATTCTGAGGAATTAACTGAGTTTTCACTGTGAAAAGTATATAACGGGATTCTCTTCTTGCCTGAGCTGCTACTCTGATCTAATCAAAAGTACGAAAAGGTTAAAAAATAGTAACATAGTTCTCGGCTGTAAGAAATGACCTATATTTGACTGCTGCCTAAATGACCTTTTGATTACAAAATAAGTTTTCTCTTAAAGGTATGCATATTTTTGACATCTCTGTGGTCCACTAAAGCTAAAGAAAACCCAGTGCAGATGTGGGATAATTCTTTTATTTCATTCCCATCTAAGTAAATTGATGTAAATATAGACACTAGCTAGCAGGTGGAATTTGCATACAAATTATGAAAATCACATGCACTCAGAGGAGTGAGGCTAGATGAACACAAGATGTGTTGGGGGTTTTTTCTTCCTTTACCAAATCTTTTTCAGAAATAATGTGGTTATTCCCATCAGAGATTTACCAGGATGCATTTCTACTTGTGACCTCAGATAAAAGAGCAAAGAAGCAAGAAAGTCTGTGTTCCTAGAGTTAAAGTGGTTTATTTTTCTGCTTTTTTAATTCTCAGAACATAAGCCGCTGTCCTTTCTCTCTTCTTTTTTTGTACTGAATTTACAGGGAATATTGTTCTGATAGAAACATATTGATTGCAGTAAAGAATTGCATGTTACCTGCCTTGCACACCTCACAGGGATATTTAACTGGTGAGAAATGTGCTCTAACTGACACCAAACAAAAGTAGAGTTGTTTTTCATTTTAAGAGTTTGCTCTCTACATGGCCTTGAATGTTTGTTTCTTTGACAGTAGATAATGATTCATTCCCTTGCTTTGCAGTTTCTAGATGGCTAAGTGCTTAAAAAGTCAATATTGAATTTCTAAGCAGAAATCCACATATGATTACAGTAAAGCTCTGCTATCACAGCATTATATTAAGTGATGTATTGGTATATTCCACATCTATAAAAATAAGAAGTTGAAATTTTACTTCTGAGCAGTATTTTAAAAAGTGCTATGGTGATTTTATTGATAGTTTGAATCTTCTGAGTCAAGATTCACCCAAAGTGAAAAATTAAAAGTGAATTATTGCTGGAAAAAATCATCCCAAGTCAGGGTAACCGTATGCTTAGAAACATAATTCTCTTTGTTCTTTATTTAAGATTTAAAGCCAAGTGATCCAACCATGACTGGCAAAACACAGACCAGCAATGTCACCAATAAGAACGACCCAAAGTCCATCAACTCCAGAGTCTTCATCGGTAATCTGAACACAGCTATTGTCAAAAAAGGCGACATCGAAGCAATCTTTGCCAAGTACGGGAAGATCGTGGGCTGCTCGGTGCACAAAGGTTATGCCTTCGTACAGTACATGAGCGAGAGGCACGCAAGGGCCGCGGTGGCAGGAGAGAATGCCAGGATTATTGCAGGGCAGCCACTAGGTAAGGATTTGTTAATACCATTAAAATACTGCTTTCTCTTTCCTTTCTGTTTGAAATATCATCCACCGCTGGTGCCTGCAGGACTAGTGAGTTTGTTTTGCCGATGTTCCATCTCAGCATATTTCCAGGATTTTGGAACTGACGGAATGTTTAACGTATGGTGTGTTACGTAGGTATTACAAAATATTTAGCCCTGTAAACTGCTTATTTATTTAACAGATCACTTCTGAAAATTTTAAACTTATTTGTAATTCCACTGTAGTGAATATGACTACTCTTGTGAAGAAAAATGAATATTTTTTCATAGACTCTAATTTAGTAAATTTAGTGTCGTATAACAGGGCTCGTCTAATAGATATCTAAAATGATACCCAGCCCAATGATGTGTCACATGTTATACCGAAGCAAAAGAATAGTTTTTATTTGTCCTTGAAATCATGCCAAATCAAACTGTCACAGTGTTATTTAAAGAAGTCTATTATTAAAAACTGTTTGCATTTTCCCCACATAATACTGTAAACATTGTTCATCTAAATTCCAAATAAAAGAAAAAAAGTATTATTTTTCTCTTCTAGTGCTTTTTCATGAATGCTTAAGTAAAATCTAATTGTTACATAAAGCAACTTTTAATTCTGGAAGCTATTTTTAATTACCTATGTAGGCTGTCAATGATAAGCTCTGGAGTCCATTATTAGACTTACTGTCATATGTATACAGCAGTAATGGGCAGTACAGCAAGATGTTTGGTAGGATTCATATGTCTTTCACTACATCTCTGAACAGTATTGCTCATATCCAACCCCAAGTGTGTAATGGCTATGTCAGGAAAAGGTGAAGTGTAGCCAGTGTTTTGGCTGTAACAAGCCATAAAGAAGGGATATGGCTTCATTTTCAGTGTTGCAGGCTGTGGAAATCTATTTTTCTGATTGTTTGTAGAAACTGAAGCATTTGTGTTAGATGGGTTGTTCTTTTATCAGAGTTGTTGAACAGTAATTTTAAGTTTTATAACTCCTACCTTTTGGGTTCAAGAGAAAAACAGATTAAATAATTTCAATTGTATTCAAGGGGAGATTGCTTTCAAACTTCATTAGGAAAAGTCACATAGATTACTGAAATAAAATAACTCAAGTGATAAAAGCAAGGCAGCAAAGTCAGTCTGTGGGATGGTATTATTAGAAGACTTCCTCAAGCGGTGTTCTCCAAGCAATAGGCCATGTAATGCCATCAGTGCATTACTTACAGCTTCTTGCACATTGGTCTGACCAGATTTTTTAAACTGTGTTTTCCTAAGGCAATAGACCTGTTATTACTATGATTACTGTTGCTAGACTCTTTAAGTATTTCTTGTGGCATCTTTAATATGCCAAGCATTTTGTACAAGGAAATGCCCTCGCACTACTCTGTGTACTTTTGTGCTTTCTGTAGTAGGGAAGTGAATTTTTCACAAAGGAAATTAAGTGACCAATAATTACTTGAATTTTTTGAATATTTTAATAACAACAGAAATTGTTTACTCAATAGTAAGTTTCAACTGTTTAATCTTAAAATACTTTTATTTTTCTGCACATTCTTCTGATGGCATATTCATTCCTCAGTTCCTAATATATCAAGAAATATAAAGAATATGCAAGGTGAGATTTTTTATCTCTTCCTAATTTGCTCTTTTTTACATGGGAAATGCAGTTGCTATCAGTATGGTTTGGCAAAAATAACGAATTTGTAAAAGTGGTACTTCTTGTTAAATAAATTGTTTCTATGAATTATTTTAATTGGCAGCAGACATTAACAGTCACCACACATTAATAAGTAGATGACTGAGAAAATTTACTTGGGATTTTTACCCAGAACATCCTATGCACTAATAATGCATTATTGTGAAACTTCTTGATGAAAACTACTTTTTTCTCTGTCCTGAGAGCTTTGCATTCTGAAATAAATAGAACTAACAAATTTATGTCAGCAGTCAAGGTATGGAAAGGGACATGAAAATACTGTTACAGATGGACAAATAAACTTGTTTAACATAGCTGAATTTTCTATTAAATTTAATTAGAATAAATTAGTAATATGAGTGTTAGATAGCCAGATAAGGAAAGCTATTTGAACAAAGGACCATTTGAAAAAGATTATCCCACGGTATATATCTGATACTATACTACACTCTAGTACTCAGTACCTCACAAAAGAAAGCATAACTTCATTTATATTTTGCTAATAATGTACATTGGCTCTTTCATGGTATAGTCAACTGAACCATTTACATTAGCTCCTGCCTTTTATGGACTAATGTTGTTCAAAATGATGCAGCTTTATCCATGAGTCAGAAACCATTCACATGTATGTATCTGAAATTTAAAACTGAACCTGTAAATTCTTATAGCTTTTTAGAGTGCCACACAGTTCACTGCGTATCCTGTCTAAATGTTTCCTCTGAGGTGGAGCCACAAAATATTAGGCTCAGTAGGTATGAAAAAGCATTTTGTTTAGCAAATTCCTCAAATTAGATGTACAAATCTAAAACATTGGTATTACCTTCAGTCTTGCCAGCTTCCTGTGGGTCATTGTTATTGTCCTGTTGGTCTCATCCAACAACTTTGAAGCTCCTACTAATGTGTGTAGTCGTCAGTGATATGTAATGGTGGTGCCATGGATACTGCAACTTGAGAGAAGAGGATTTCACGAGCTGTGTGATTATTTCCAATCTTCCTGTTTCATAAAGTGCAACACACTCTAAAAAGTTGTGGGGTAGAGATCACAAAGGAAGACAAAAATTTATGCTTGGGAAATTTATTGCTATTATTGTGAAGTTCAGTGTAGTTTCTTGAAGTAGTATTATGTCTTCATGGCAATAACATGTTTTCCTGCCCACAGGACAGAGACAGGTCAGTATAAGGCACAGGAGTCTGCTTCACAATGATTATTTTGTAAATTGCTTTAGGCTGGAGTTGAGAAAATATTGAAGTTGTTCTAGGACAAAACTACAAGTTATGTTATTCGCTGTGGGAACACATCCACATTATTAACTCTTCTCAAAAGTCTTTCACCCATTTTAGCACACCTGTGAGTTACAGAAAATTTGTGCATATCCACTTCCTTTCCAAATAGGACAAAGCGACACGGTGAACAGGAATTATTCTGAGGAAATAGTGAGTCTGTGAACTTTACCAAGGGTGATTTCATCCTTCTCTGGTGAGAGAAGGATGAGATGCTTGCTCAAAAATGAATGCAAGTCCCTCATTGCAGCAGTGGGCTGAGGAAATGAGCTGTAACCTTTCTCGTAGTGAGGAGCCCAAGCCTGAACACAGATCTGGAGGTGCAGCCTGGCCAGTGCTGAGTGCCACAGGATGATCACTGCCCTGGTCCTGCTGGCCACAGTTTCTGATAGAGGCCAGGATGCCACTGGCTTCCTTTGGCCACCTGGGCACATTCCAGCTCATGTTCCACTCCTGTTAACCAACACTGCCAGGCTCTTTTCCTCCAGGCAGATTTCCAGATATTCTTTCCCCACTCTGTAGCTCTGCATGGCATTCTTGTGACCCAAGTGCAGGACTCAACACTTGATCTTACTGAACATCATCAATGGCCTTAGCCCATTGATCCGGTCTGTCCAGATCCCTCTGTAGTGCCTTCTACCCAACTTGGTGTTGTCTACAAACTTGCTGAGAGTACACTCCATCCCCTCACCCAATCATAAATAAAGATTTTAAAATAAGGATATACATAGCAGCTTCTGTCTGAAATTCTGGTATAGCTATATCAACTTCCAAATCATAATGTCCTTTTGATTATTTTTGGTTAATAGTTCATAGTCTCTTATTTTGTAATACCTTAATTATAATGCCTATTTTTTTTGTCTGTTTTCATACACATTTTTATACCAGGATAATTCCTTTAACTTGAGAATTTTTCTTCATTTGTGCGTATAAGGCAGGCCATCTCACAAGTATCTTATCAAAACAAGTTAAATGGTGTAAGGCTCATACTTTTGTTGTTTTACATGGAAGACATGTGGGATTTCTTTCTTGGATCCTTAGGAAAAGGAAAGATTATAGTACCCAGAAAATAAGAGGTGTTGTAGTTCTCCAGCTGATGCCCTTTTAAACTAATAAATTGGTTCTTCTGTAGCTTGAGTACTGTTTTGTTGCTGCAAATATTACTCACCTGTGTCGCCTTCAGGTCTAAATTAGATGTAGTCTCTGAATACCAAGTGAGTGCATATTGACACGTAGTCTAAGGTAGGATGCTGGTTGCAGATATTTATTTTCAGAGACATACTCTTTTACACATCCTTTTGAGAAACACAAGAGCCCTGAAGGGGCTTTTTAAATTATAACTATCCAGTAGAAAATATCCAAGGTGAATAGCAGGTAATAATGGGAGATTTTAGAGACACTCAACACATACCTTTGCTGCAAATTGAACTGATGTGGTAATAAGGCTGTTTTATCTTTTGTTTCCCTTGCCTCTACTCAAAACATATCTTTTCTATTTTATGTTTGTAATGTCTAACAATACTGAGAGACTGACGTGTATTTGTAGAACAAGGACTCTCCAGACTGAAACAATTCTTCACCTCAATCTGAGCTACAGAAAACATTAATTGTGTCATGAAAGTTTCTGTCTTAAAAGGAATAAATACTTTTGCTGTTTTAATAAACCAATTTGTAGGGGAAAATAAAGCATTTTGATTTAAAAAAATAACAGTTTTACCCAAATTTTCTGGATGACTAATGTTTACCTAAGCCAATGATAGGCTAAGATAAGAAAGTCAAATCTGAATTATTAATTATCTGAATTATGGTTATTCCATTTCCACTTAGTCAACAGTTTTCAGTCAGTAGCATGGAAGAATACCAATCTTTTATTTGTACAAACATACTCATGATTTATTAGAACAATCTTGGTACTCTTACCCACCTACCTCCCACTAATGTAATGGCAGAATTTATCAGGAAAGCAATGTTGTCTTGTTTTAATGACTTAAGTGGAGCAGCATCTGA